ACTTTATTCCCAGCAGTTATATTTGAGATAGTCCAACAAGCTTCTTTTTTTATACTTTTCTTGTGATTTTGCGTAAGCAAATTATAAAGGTGTGGAAGTACGCCACTGTCAATTATAAACTGAAAAGCAAAACATACAATCTTAGTCAAATGCCAAAGCAAAAACCCAAAAAATTTATAAAGAGTTGTTGTTCAAAAAACATACCTGTGTCTGAGAGTCATCACCAGTTACGATGTTCCCAACAGTTCGGAGGGCAGGAATGAGAACCGTGGGTGATGGATGACTTGAAGAAATATATATTAGTCAGTATACAAAAAGAGCAAGAATATGAGGCAGTGAGAACATCAACACTCAATTTTCGAAAGGTACTCCAAAATCATCACAATTTTGAAGATGGCAACACCATTATTGAAAAAGACCAACTTGTATAGCACTAAGAAAAAACTAGAGAAACTAAAGATGATGAAAAATAAACAAAAACATGGCAAGGCAAAAAGGAACTAACCCCAGAAGCTCCACAAGTCGTGGACAGACACCAGCCTGAATCACAGCCTGAATCTTATCATTGGGACCATCTGAAAGGTAGGAGAGAGCCCAGCAGGCATCTGTGAGAACTTCTTCATCATTTAGATAGATAAGTTGCCGGAGAACTGGCAGCGCAGGCTTCACCTGAAGCATATGAATAATCAACACTATGCTTGAGCAACATGAGGAATGCAATCAAACACATATAACTAAAACAACTTGAGCTGTAAATCATAAGAAGTCCAGAAAAATCAAGATATATAAGAGAATCCATTTCTGTAGTCCCACCTGTTCAAATGGTGTAGGTGGTTTACCACGGCAAAAGTTGGACAAGGTCCATGTAGCATTCCTTAGCATGGACAACTTAGAATTTTCGTTTAACTGAGAGAGCAACGGTATAAGAGCCCCATAGTTGAGAACAAGATTCCTGCAGTTTGGAGAGTCTCCAGCAACATTCCCCAAGGCCCACACCGCCTACAATGGATACATATAAAGGTTTGTAAGAAACCATTAACGTTTTAGCACCTACAACTACAGAGAAGCACTTGGCTGACTATAATTTCATATCACAAAAAACTACTGTGGATCAAAAGAAACAACAAACAAACCAAATACAGCCACCGAACTTGGAGGCATGTATCCTGGTCACAAATATAAAATGGAAATGCAAGTGAGAGCTACAACTATTTAGCTAGTTAGTGGCCAACCTGTTCTCGAACGTCATCACTAGCAGAGCTAAGAAGTTCAACGAAGATAGGAACAGCTCCCTGTTCAATCACAACCCGAGTATGATCTGATGTTCCTGATGCAACATTGGTCAAAGCCCATGCAGCTTCAAACTGCAAACGAACTTTAAAGTAAGCCACCAGACCATTCTTGAGTCTATAGGGTGCCATAGATAAGTAAAAATTCTAAAACGTAGGAAGTATAAGACACACCTGTAGTTGTGGATGGTCTTGCCTTCCAAGAAACTCCACAAAACGTGGGACAACACCGGCTTTGATCACTTCATCAATTGGAGGACTACGCTCTACTCATCAAATTATATTACAAGCAACCATCAGATACATATCACACATATATAACCCGAGAACGTAAAATTGCTTCTGGAAGGAACAAATGTATATAACCAACCTATAGATAACAACTTCCTAAATTGAGTTGTGGCTTCTAGCTGAGCTTGAGGATCATCAGAATAAACACCTTGTACCATCATTGG